GGGGGGGGGGGGGGGGGATGTATAATTTAACAGCCCAGAGCTCATTAGCTTAACTGTCTTTGGGACTCTGAACTAAGAGGCCAACCCCGATTATTTTTGGCTTTCTGATCAAGTCCCTAGTTCTGTTGTTTGAAGGCACATGTAACACCCAGACACACACACACATCAGAGAGACAAGTAGACAGTTCCATGAATTACATTACAGCTCCCAGTCAAGGAAACATACTCAGACTGACTCAGTTACAACACCATCGCATTTAAACCACCTACCAGTGGAACCGCAGTCTGTCCCACCCACCTGTGGTGGAAGAGATCCAAAGGCTTCCACTTCCTGTGGCAACACATTAAATATGAGGGAGACAGGGAGATACCTGAGATGAATTCAGGCAAGAAGAAAGAAAGTGGCACAATTTGCACTGGGCTGGAACAGCCCCCCTGCCGCAGACCAGGGCTGCCCCCTGGGCTGGGTGACTAAGCCGGTTAACTATTCACTTCCCTACTTTGCACATGGGTTGACACAGTCTGGGCCTTGATTTTGGGTCCAGGGCCTGCGGTGGTTGTGGACTGTAGGATGCTGTGGTGACAGTCGTACCTGCGGTGGTAGTGGGCTGTAGAGTACTGCAACAGTCAGACCACTACCACCTCCACGTTGAGGTTGGGGGACCTCTTTCCTAACTTAGAGGAATGAACCAGCTTTTCTGTCAGTGGAAATTGATGGATCTGTGTCTGTTTCATTTGTCTGCTAGGCCTGCAGGCCGTAGGCCATTCTGCCTCTTACCTGGTGCCTATGACTCTGTTTCATAATGCAGCTCTGCGGTGACGTGCTGTGTGCATCTCCCGCAGTCAGACCCATAAAACGCTTTCCAAAATGGTCCAGCTTGTGCCCGAACCTTGGATTCCTGGCGACGGGGGCACCGTGTGTTTGTGACCTTGCAGACCCTGGTCTCGGAGCTTCCCTCGCCCTTTGTGGCACACGGGGTCTTGATGATTCTGAGACCTGCTGTCTGAACAGCCGGAGGATGGGACCCGAATTTCCCTTCCCCATGTCCCCATCAGAGATCGCTGTGGTTGTGGGTGAAATACCTGGGATAGGAGGTCTGAGGGCACCGGCCTCTTCCAGCCCTGCCATCTGCTCCAGGCGTTCCATCCGCGTGCTGTCAGGGTGGTGCTGTTCAGGTCCTGGGCATGGCTGTTGTGCCGGGACTGGTTTTTCTCCTCTGCACCAGCTTCTAGGAGGGCTCTGGAGGCGAGTCCGGGTCGCTGGCATCTGGAAACAGTCCAGCGTTTCTTGCTAAAAGATGCAGCCAAGGTTTCCTAGGGCAGAGTGTTGCTCTGGGGCCACGGCCGGAGGAGCAGCAGGCGGGGGGAAAGCGTTTAGCCGTAAAGCCGTGTGTTTGCAGGCCTGCTCGTTCTGCTCCCCGCAGGTTGGCTATGGGATGGGCGAGGAAGCGGAGAACAAGTACGTGTCCCAGCTCCAGGATGTCTATAACAGCTGCGACACCACGGGCACGGGCTACCTGGACCAAGAGGAGCTGACGGAGCTGTGTCGCAAGCTCCGGCTGGAGAGGCAGCTGCCTGCACTTCCCCACACTCTCCTGGGACACGACCGCTTGGCCAGGGTGAGTCGCAAGGGGCCAGCCGTCAATGCTGCTGCACAAAGGCTCAGCACTTTCTAAGGGCCTGGGGCAGTAAATAAACCAACCTCAGAGTTCCCAACCCCCCAGATTCGCTCTGGTCTGCCCATTAATGCTGGAGCCACTGGCGCTGGGAATCCGGGTGGTCGGCTGGAGTCAGGCGCTGGCCCCAGGGCTGTCCCACCGGAGTGCGGCAGAAGGGAAAGGTCAATGCTGCTGCACAAAGGCTCAGCACTTTCTAAGGGCCTGGGGCAGTAAATAAACCAACCTCAGAGTTCCCAACCCCCCAGATTCGCTCTGGTCTGCCCATTAATGCTGGAGCCACTGGCGCTGGGAATCCGGGTGGTCGGCTGGAGTCAGGCGCTGGCCCCAGGGCTGTCCCACCGGAGTGCGGCAGAAGGGAAAGCTTGCTGCCTCTGGGTAGCACAGCCGGGCGGGTTGGCTGGCTGCCTAGGTCACATGCTGCTTGAGATGCCTTTGTTCCAACCCTCCTGGTTTCAGAAAAGAGGAGACCGAGGGGGGGATAGGATAGAGGTCTATAAAATCAGGAGTGGTGTGGAGAGGGCCGATAGAGAGAGAAGTTATTTATTAGTTCCCATAATAGAAGAACTAGAGGCCACCAAATGAAATTAATGGGGAGCAGGTTTAAAACTAATAAAAGGAAGTTCTTCTTCACACAGCGTGTAGTCAACCTGTGGAACTCCTTGCCAGAGGAGGCTGTGAAGGCTAGGACTATAATAGAGTTTAAAGAGAAGCTAGATAATTTCATGGAGGTTAGGTCCATAAAAGGCTATTAGCCAGGGGATAAAATGGTGTCCTTGGCCTCTGTTTGTCAGAGGCTGGAGAGGGATGGCAGGAGACAAATCGCTTGATCATTGTCTTCGGTCCACCCTCTCTGGGGCACCTGGTGCTGGCCACTGTGGGCAGACAGGACACTGGGCTAGATGGACCTTTGGTCTGACCCCGTCCGGCCGTTCTTATGGCTGTTCTCCAGGCTGCCAATCGGGGGGACAAGAAGTAAAGCACTTAACCTGCAGCCCCTCGGGACAGGAAACTGGGGAGGGGAAGGGTCACTCTTAGAAACCTCACCGGGTGGTCGTGCTCTGGACCCGGCCCCACGGGAGGCTGCGGTATCCCCGTCGCTGGAGGCTGGACGGGCCCTGCCCCATGCAGCCTGCTGAGGTCCCTTCCAGCCCGGCCTTTCCCGGTTTCTGTGACCCGAGTTGGCCTTTCTGACTCGCTCTCTCCCCAAGTGCGTCGCCAGCTCCTTTGGGTCCCGTCCCCCCGTAGCACCAGGCCGGCCTGACGTGCGCTCGGCGTCTCTGCCTGCCCCCAGGTTCACTTTGAGGAGTTCAAAGAAGGCTTCGTGGCAGTGCTGGCCGCCAGCGTTGACCTGGGCGTTTCCCACGAGGAGAGCAGCTACTTGGAGCCAGGTGCTGGGAGACTCGTCAGCTGCTTTCTTGTTGCGTTTGGTCTCGGCTTCTGCCCCCGTGGACGGCCTTCGCCGTAATCTTCCACCCCGTAACCGTTAGGGGCTGCAGCTGCCAAGGATGGCCCAGAGGTTAGGGTGCTGGCCTGGGTTTGATTCCCTGCTCCGCCACAGACTTCCTGAGTGACCTTGGGTGGGTCACGCAGTCTCTGTCTGTAAGATGGGGACCACAGCACAGCCCCACCTCCCCAGGGGCGGCGGATACACAGTGCGAGAGGCTCAGACCCTACCGTAGGCCCTTCATTGAGCTTAAGGAACCGTTGTGCTTGTGTAGTCACAGGCTGCACGACGGCCCCGGAGCCGTGACCGAGCTAGAGCCTGTCTCTTAGCAGAGCAGCCGGGCCTGTGCTGGAGCTTTGGTGAATGGGTCCCGTGGCTGCTTCCCCTCCTGGCTCCCCATTTGCACCAGGCTTGGTTCAGATTCACCTTCGAGCTGGCAGAGCTTGGCAGCCAGGAACCGTTGTGCTTGTGTAGTCACAGGCTGCACGACGGCCCCGGAGCCGTGACCGAGCTAGAGCCTGTCTCTTAGCAGAGCAGCCGGGCCTGTGCTGGAGCTTTGGTGAATGGGTCCCGTGGCTGCTTCCCCTCCTGGCTCCCCATTTGCACCAGGCTTGGTTCAGATTCACCTTCGAGCTGGCAGAGCTTGGCAGACCTTTGCCTGCTGGGCTGAGTATCCCTGACAGCCCTGCTGGCGAGGCACCTTCACCTGGGCCGTGCCACTAGGAGGCTGGCAAGCCGGCCAGCCGTAGTGCAGTGGGGCCCTGGCTCTCCGGAGCCCTCTCCCGTTTGCGGGTGCCCCAGCTGGGCCCAGCAGCCGTGTCGTGGGCACCCCAGCGCTCAGGGCAGGCAGTGGGGTTGGGTCAGTGCCTGAGGCTTTGTCTCCACTGCCAGGTAAGCAACAATGTTCCGTGTTTGCAGGTGCTTAACCCTGTCCCCTGCCCCCTTCCCCCCCAGACAAGTGTCAGTGAGCAGCAGGAAAAATGGCTCCTTGCTGGCAGGCGCATTCACCGGCTGGCAACGCACACCCCAGCCCGTGTGCCGGCAAACGGCGCTGCCACGGCCTGGCTGT